ATGAATTTTTCTCCAATCACTTGAGTGTACCTTACGTTTACGACAAGTGAGAGCAAGGCTGTATGAATTGTTTAGACGAATATGGGAAAATTCAACTACCAGTTTCCTCATCCCCTTGAACGAAATAGGCGGAATCCTCATCATACATGGGATCTACTGGAAGTCTATAAAACCTATTTATAGACGAAAACATGAGGTATAGTTGTTTTAATGTGAAAATATCTCAACCAGCAGACCGTATGCGCGAATAATGCTCCAATAAAGATAAATTTTCATATTCTGTATCAATTTATACTTGAGCACCTAAGTTGTGCATACTGTGCTACGTCATACAGTATTACTAATCTATAGAATACTGTATAATGCAACATCTTTCTATAATATCTTTTACGCGACCCCACATTATGCATTCTGCATGTGATCTCCAATTATGCATTAATATTCAATGCTATATAGTACTTTGCTATAATATGCCCTGTTCTGTAAAATAAAACTTTCTTTAATATCGCAGTAGTACTAAGACGTATAATGATGGCTGACGGATAAATGAATTTTCCCACAATAACGTATTGTGAAATTATCTAATTTCACATTTCATTGCCTCCCATACAGCATTCTCATCCGGCTTTAACTGCAGTTTCAAACCCGACTCGCCCCAAGTGAAACCTAGTGTCACCTGCCCTACACACCTACAGCCACGTGTGGATGACAGTTAGTCACTGGGCCGATGTGATTTTCCTAAAAAAAGGGTCTCTCTCAACCCACATTTATGTTATTCAACTATCGGTAGATCTTGAATAAGAGGATTGGTCACTTTTAGTTTTATACATTAACGTAAGGTATACTTCATAAAGTTCATCCATATGAAGTCTCTCCAATGTAGACAAATTCGACTATCATCATCATCATCATTATCTTCTTCTTCTTCTTATTCTTATTCTTCACCATCATCTTCATCGAAACATCAAGGATTGCAATGACGAATGCATGTAAGCCTCAACGACGATTTTCATTAATAATACGTGATTTGAAAGAAGTATGATTCGTTTTGAAAATCACTAATGACATGTGACCATAAATCCCACTATTGGTCGTCATCACTTGATGAGATCGGCCTATTAATCTCGTAATCAGGCACATTGACAAAAAATAAAAGTCATCACATCAATGCTATTTACACAACATGTTTAGCAAAAACTAGGTCTGTTAGTGGGTTTTCGAGACTATCAGTAAATCAGTTAAATGAGATGTATTTATCCTATCTTATCTGAGGTGATAAAGGGCTGAAAGCTGACTTTTACCACAATAAAATAAGCATACATTGCGTTGATATTGAATTTGACGAAGCCTTGATTCGCAAAAGGTATTCTCATCCCGGCTTGAATGGGCTGCAGATTTGCTCTCGCTTACGTGGCTAGATTATACGCCACACTGTCACGGTTCGAGTCCCGCTGGGAGTGCTGATGAGACCAGTTCATTCGAGGTCGAAACTGCAGTCGACTGGATGGAAAATTACTTTTGAGAAACAGGACTCGGTGTAAACAGCAATGGAAACGTAAGGTATACACATATCATTGTGGGAAAACTTGAGAATAAACCCTTCATTGCCTAAATAAATACATTTCATAGAAATTGTACTGTCAAATTGTAAAACGATTTATATGACCATTCGAAAGTGAACTGTCTATAAACTGACCTGAAAGTTGAATGCAACGATCGTGATTAGATAAATCACTTCGAGCCATCTAGAGTGACCACATACAGCTTCAAGTATTACTGACTTTTATGGAACATACTCAAAATACATTTGAGTAGTATCGTCAAATGCAAAGAAAAACCTATTTTAATATTAAGTCAGTTTCGATGCTGCCAGTAGATTTCGAATAAGAACTGTACACTTTTTGGGAGGCCAGCATCGTATGTAACAATGGGAAAGACTATATTAGCATAGCTTACATTATTTTAATCAACCTATGCTGGTTTAGTTGTTTTTTTTGTTATTTCTGTCGTTAGGACCCCCTTTGAAGCACAACTAATGTCAGAGTAACTGGAAATTTAGAGTTGGCTTTTTATATTATTGAGATGTATTGCATCTAGACTGTGCTTATGCTTTTTGACTTGATTATTGCATTGGAAAGAGAAAAACACGGTTCACTTCAGAAGCATTCATATAAGCTTTATGGGCTGTACCAAACAAAGAAGAAGTCTCTGATCTCTGGCTAAGTTGCAATGAATAGACTTTCGTTGTGGGAACTGAATGCAGATACCAAACTGCTGCTCAAGAGAAATGAGACAGTCGGATAAAAGCCAGCCAACTCTAATAGCGGCCAGAATAAAATGCTAATTGTTACTTCCTGCACAATATTGCCAATAAAACTGGCAGCCAATGGATGTCTAATCGTTACCGTGATCTGCTTTTCGGTATCTGTTTAGCCAAATGAAGAGAGGTTGCAAGAGGGGGAGAGAGCGAGTGAAAATGGAGGGGTGGGTAGAGAGAGAGAGGGAGGGAGGGAGGGATTGAACATAAAATATGTTCTGTCTGCTGCATAACTAAAGCAAGCCTCATACAAGGGCTGTCATAAACATCCATTTTGCAGACCGACTTGATAGACGATACCTTCCGGGGTGGAAGCTACTTTGAGAAGTGGAACGGAGTGCGAGACACTAAATGGATACGGTTACAATCAGCCAGCCGGCAAATGCAGATACGCTGGCAATGCAGCCAAGTGAATTGAGAAAGCGAGTTTCTGTCGAAATAATAGACAGACCTCTTCTGTGAAGTAACAGTTAATTTTTATGTGCCATTTCTTTCCGAGAACTCAGTCATCCATGTTTGCCAAGGGAAGTTTAAGAACTGCGAGTAGGTTTTTTCAATTCATCAAATAAATAAGCCTCATTCAAATAAATAAATAAATATATATAACTAATGCATCCATATTTCCTCAATTTTCCTAAAAGATTGCATTTCTGTTTTTTTTGAAATAACT